TTAAGCGACCGGAACTCAAACATAGCGAGCGAGAAGTGGCGAATCGATGACGGCTACTAATTCCTTATTAACAATAGGACAATTATCGGGGAGGCTCAAGAGGCCCACAACAAACACTACCGAGAAAATTATTCCCGGAAGTTTTCTGGTGAAGTATGTAACCGTGACATATATAACCGGCTGTTGGTGAGCTCGGACTCGTCTTTAAGCAGTATTTCGGTTAATGACCAAAAAAAGAAAAAATATCAAATCGTTTTCCTCAGACACAATTAAGCTGCTGTTACCCTCTAAATCCGTTGTCAAAGATGTGACAAAGGAATAGTTTGAGGCCAGCGAAGATTCTGAAAGCGAAAACTAATTAACCAATGATAGTGTACACACATTTTATAAATAAAGGTAGTCAATATATTTAAATAGTAAATTATTGGCTAATATATGTATTTTATTAATATAACCTATCTGTAATACAAATTATTTAAATTTTACATTTGATAAACAATTTTGAGTAGATAGAGGCAATAAAATATTTTTTGCCGCATAAAACTTGAAAATCTACCTATATGCGGTATTTCCAAGATATTTTAACGCCTTTGAGTCACAAGTATATACAAGTATATTTTATCAATCATACCGATAATGTCATGTATTAAAAGAATTAAAAATGAAAATGAATAAAAAAATTAAATCAGCAAAGTGAATAAAATTAAGTGAAATTAATGTTTAATTTCTAACCTAACCTACATTTGTATGTGTGTAACTGAATCGCCTTTATATATAAAAATATTATCCTAATTTTCGAGCTTGACTCCCTAATCTGATATTAGAAAAAGAGATTAGCCATGCAAAATTAGAATTAAAAATATCTCAGATTAAACCGATAACTTTTTGGTGTCCAACCCAGTTTTATCGATTATACTTGCGAAGAAGAGGAGGAATGTCAAATGTTAAAGTAAACAAAAATTGACGCTAGTAAGGAAAGTAGGTTTGTAAAGGTATTTTTAATAAAATATTCAGTTAAAATATATTTAAATGGCCTAATATGTGTTGCAAAAGAAAAGTGACCACGGTGGCACAGAAAAGAAGTTTAACTTTCCTCGAGTTGTGTGAATAACAAGCACAACCAATTTGACAGCTAACGAGCTTTGATTGAGATTATATTTATATGTAAACGTACTTTTATGCTTTGCCGTTCGCATATGTATACACATCAAATTTCATGAGTACCTAGTACTCACGCCTTTTTTTTAAAGTTTGAAGTCGAAATTATGTTTTTCTTTTTTAAGTTAACGATAATAGAGTACTTTAATATTTTTGTTAATACACACTTCCTTTTTTTTACTTTGAAAACTCTTTTTTCAACACTTTTATTAGGGCCACTAAGGAACCCCATGCCTCTAATTGTGTGGTTTTCTTCATGCGCCTAATTAAGGGTTAATAATAAATAACACAAGTCACTTATATATTAGTGACCTACAAAAAATTTTCTTTAAAAATACGCATACTTTTTAAAAATATTTGTTTCAACACATTTTGCAATAGGACTGCGCAATTATTAAATTTATTATAATTTATATTAATTGATTAATCGCACAATCTGCTTTTAAGAGCTCGGCGCTAAAAATTAAACACAACCTATAATAAGGGGAGATCAGCTATTTTCACAATTTCTTTAAAATAACCTTTAGTGTCCGAATGATTTACATTTCTGTTGTTGTCATATATTGAGCTATTCAACCTTGATAACATACTGTTTGATATTGGAAACGTTTTGCAGCAGAAACTATTAGCCTTCATATAACACTTTATTCGAACCATTGAATTAACATCATCCTATTTCGAATCTTAGTTTTTGTTAAATTCATTACGGAAAAAACGCGTTCAACAAAGCATGTGAGTGCGGCAAGGATAATAAAATGAATTTACTTATATTTCCAAACATTTCATTGCCTGTTGCGGTTTTCACTCCGTAAGCAATTATCCAAAATTCTGCAGAGTCGGATGGAATGGTTCTGAGAAAAGTTATTCCGGGAGAAAGTTAAAAGATTTAAATATTCACTTTCCGCTGCTTTTCTTTCCTTCAAAGCTAAATAGTGAATTGGCAGGTCCCTGAAACTCGCCATCTTTTGAGTCACACACTCTTCTGTTGACAAAATCAAAGCTTTTTTAAAAGTATTTAATTGACTAGGTAATCGTTTCAAAAGTTCTTCGATTAGGGTGATCAAAAATTTTTTACAGTCTTTTAATATGATTTTTAAGTCAAGTTTATCACGCAGTTTATTAGCCTCTTCTGTAAAATTATCCTGGAAAACTAAGTTTTGTATATTTTTATAATTCGGAAAAATTTATTTGAAGGGAAAAAAATCGCCAAAAATCGACAATGGTGATTTCCTAAATTTTTACGCGCAAATATCCAAAAAAATCGCCAAATTGGCGCGAAATCGACAAATCTGGACACTCGTCCATACCATAACAAGAATTAGTTGTTAATTATTAAAAAAGAAAAATCCTCCTGTCACGGGTGGGACAACTTTTGTCACGGGTAGGACACGTACGAGTTTCTTCATGAAATGGAGCTTCTAGTGAGATCCATATCAAAGGGTTTAGGTATAAAAATTGTTAGAGGCCAAATACAAGATCAGTTGACCCACTTTTATCACAGTAGACGCACGATATACTGCTCCCTCAGGATCTATTTTAGGGGGCAATAATTATACCAAACGAAAGCTAGAAGTCGCCAGATTGATGTGTTAAAAAGGATGGGAGAATGGATTATTTGCAAACGCATAAGATTTTATATGCATTTTTCCAAATGCACTTCTGCACGGTGCATTTGATTGCAATGAAAGTTCGAATGTGCCTTAATGATTTTCAAGTTTCTTTAGACTAGCTGTTATCACGACGATAGCGATGTCTAACCTGCTGTTAGTTTTAACCAGACATTAAGTAATGGGCCCTAAAAGTGGCTGCAGTTGAGTTATTTTTGGAAAACTGATTTCATGGACAAATCAGGCTCAAATTTAGCTATTCTTTGGTGAAACCATAGAACGTCAGACAAAATCTTGTGTATCGATGTCTAATCAGAAAAGGGCATTAGAATAGTTGTACGCAGATACATATATCTTTGTCACTTAAAGGCTATTTTTGGATTGAATTTATAAGTTAGGCGAACTTCTAGATTTTCTTGGTTGGAATTTCTGAGAAAATTGTTAGTATTAACTTTTGGATTGTTGTTAAGCAACCCTCATAATAGAATTCTCTGACGTCTTTATGATAGTAATGTTTACCTTGACTTTTCGAGCTGACCACGCGAAATTGTTTACTACATCGCTTAGCCCAACAACAGTATTGTGGTGTTTAGTCAACCTGAACTTCAAAGTTTTGTGGCATTAAACATAGGTTTGAAACGTTAAACTTGGTTTCTTTTATTGTTAGGCACCATTAGAAATTATGAAATTATGAAATTATAGGAAAATCCCTAAAGTAGTAACTAAGCAGTACGAAGACTAAAACTTTTTTGTCACGGGTGGGACATGCAAAACCGTAGTGATTTCATCCCATTATATAAGATAAATGTCTATTTTACTTCAATGCCGTGTTGCTTCTTTGGGACGAAGAAAGATCGAGACATTTATTCCCCACTTCAAAAAAAATAATAACTTTGTAAATACTTGATTTCGCAGAGCCTTCTATATTAAAATATATTGCCGTATTCAATTACATTTCTAATGTTGAAGCTTTGAGTGCATTTACAGAGTAATAAAATAATATAACTCAATTTTTTCTTCGAAAATATGTACGTTAATTGTATGTATTTAGCATTGATTCATCAAGCATTCCATGTTCAATGAGTTACTTTATAAACACAAAGATTCACTTACTCATAGAATACCCCATTTAAATTTATGCTCGAAAGTTTGGAATATTTATGTATTTATTTTTGCATTTAATTGATACTCAAAAAATTTAACACTAATTATTGGCAAATCTAAGGCTGTTAAATAAAAATGTGTAATATATTAAGGTGTACTTAATCAAAAGTTTTTTATTGTATATTCATGAATTCATTTTATTTTTTGACTCTCAAAATAGTGGTTTTGGTCCATAATTGGACTAGTATTTTTCTGCTTCTTAATATATAAATCGAGATCCGGAGGGCTGGCTGCTGAACAGCGATCTTGTTTATGCGTTTTTATCTATTAAAGATGTCAATAAAAACCGATTACTCAACATACTTCAGATGACTTGAAATTTTGATAGAATTTTATTTACAGTATATTGAAAATTAATTCCTAGGGTCTTAAAGTACTCCCAACCTATGTATGTTGAAATTGCATTGTTGCAAGTATAAGTCAACATACTTCAGATGGGCTGTCCTTTTGACAGCACATTAGTAATATTATAACTAGATTAAATAAATATATACAGCCAGCCTATTCAGATGGTCACATCAAATGAAAAATGTCAAAAACGTCATTTCCGTGAGTGCGGGCTCGTGAAAGAAAACGTATATCGTTCAGATGCCATGGCGTATGAGTTATCTATCAACATCAATTTAGTCCGGTTGAAAGAAAAATTTCAAGACACTGTAATATTTCCTAATTATTAATTTATTTTTAAGCTTTCAACCAGTGTTGTCACTTCAGAAATTCAATTAGTGGTTGATTATCAATAAAAACAGTGGTAGATCTCAGGAAAAGTGTGGTAGAATATTTGTAGTAACGTAAAAATTTGCCAAAAAAAGATATATCAAACTATGAAGTAGTATTCAAATGAAGATAAACTGCATTCTTAGTTTTGTTCTATAGCGTCATTTTTTCGAGATATGTATTTGCCTACTAAGGTTCTCATTTTTATTGCCTTAGAAGGTACATACATATATCTTTGTCATAAAAAAGATATTATTCCTAATTTTTGCAATAAGTTCTTAAGTGGTGTTGTCTATGGAAATACTGAAAACTTCACAGGCGTATTCTCAGGCAATGTCGAGTCTCTAAGAAAATCGCCTCACGTAAGTGCAGATTATCATTCACAATACATTTTCTTGGCATTTTAATTCATATCGAGGAGAATTGACTGTTCAACTCTTATGAAAAAAAAACATTTTTCAAATTAGGTTAATAATTTTATTTCAGTAAAATTGTGGTAGTTTTTTAAAAAATGTGGTAGTTGTTGTAGAAGTGAAAAATTACCCAAAATGTGGTAGATCTACCACAAAGTGCCAATACTGCTTTCAACCTTTTATTCATTTACCATGGTTTGTTCTTTATCTGCCGAGTTTTGCAAACAATTGAAAATTCATACACTTTTACGGAAACAAAACAAATAACTACGTATATAAGAAGAAAGAGGGTTTGAACCCCCAAAACACCTACACGCGTTCACTCCTGGGTGTCTAGTGTATAGGCTATAAGGATTTGAAAGCATAAAATAACCCGGTTGAATTTTAATGGTAAAGTGTTTAAAACCTCAAAATTTCAAATTCGTTCTGAATGTACTTAATGTATTTTACCTGTCAGCCTACGAAATAATCTATAATCTTCTACCTACAATTTATGTATTTATGTAAGCTATGTACATATATACATACAATTTACGTATTTAAATAATAAATAGGTCGGTCTACTTTCAATTGATGTAATTTTTGATTCCAATTCATTTATTTCATGCGAAACTCAATTCGAATTGATCATGCAATTATAATTTCCATTCCATTCCTTAATTCCAGATGTTGCTGCAATGTTTCGTGATATGCCTCCTGGCAATGCCCGTTCTCACAGGTCCTGGTCGAATCTGCCCAATGGAGTGCACTTGCAAAATAGATGAACAAAATCGGCGGCAGGTTATTTGCACAAAAGGTAGGTAGCAAGGTCATTAAATTTAACTAACAAAACGGAAGAATAAAATATTTAACCAGATCAGATGGACAAATTCTCAAAAGTTTTCACATCGCATTGAGCATTTGTAATTTTGAGAAAATAAGATTTTTGAATGCACACATCTACATATTTGCATATTTATTGTAGTCTTTACCACAATCGCCGAATTGTTTTTATACCCGAGCGCACTTGTGCACAAGGGTATATTTACTTTGTTCACATAACGGTTGTTTGTAACAGCCAAAACGAATCGAGATAGATATAGACAAATCGCACACCGTCTTCAAAAGAGTCACAACTCAAAATTTGGCATTTTTGAAATGATGCGCTAAAAATGTACACAGAGCTTTTATTTACCTTTCAGCAAAAGCTGGAGAAAATTTTTGTTATAATTTCTTGAAAGACCTAAGGTAAAGTCGCCCTTGCCCATATGATTCGCATGGGCTACGAAATAGTTTTTCGTATTTTCTGACGAACCTATTATTTTGAGTTTTGACTCTTTTGAAGACGGTGTGCAAAATGTATACATAAATGCTCAGAGTGAATAGAGAAGTCGATTAAGCCATGTCTGTCTGTCCGTCTGTGTCTGTGCGTCCGACCGTGTACACGATAACTCAAGCAAAAATTTAGATATCTCAACGAAATTCGGTATGTAGGTTTGCCTTTATCCAAGGTAGGTTGATATTGAAAATGGGCGAAATTGGACTGTAATCACGCCCACCTCCCATATATTTTCGAAAAATGCAAAAACTACAATATTTCAGTAAATATTTGATCTAAATTGTTGAAAATTAGAATGTTAGGTCGAATTTTGGTAAAAAATAGTATTATTATGAAATTTTTAGAAAATGGGCGTGACCCCGCCCACATATGATGAAATGCTGTATCTCAGTAGCCGCTTCACCAATCTTTCCCAACCTCGGTACGAGCCTTGCCTAGGGTTTAGCTAAGAAATCTGATGAAAATCTTTGAAATCGGGCAATAACCACGCCCATATAACAGTAATTTACAAAAACACGAAAACTGCGATAAATTAGTAACTACTGAAGCTAATTGACTCAAAATCGATAGTTACAATAACCCCTTAGCCCACAATTATATTATTATACATTTTTGGATGATGGGCGTGGCGCCGCCCCTTATGACCACAAATGTGTATCTCGGTAACTGGTTCATCAATTTCTACCAAACTTGGTGCACTTAATAACCTTAGTACAAGGAAGAAATCGTTGAAAATTGTTCAAATCGGACTAAAATTACACCCACTTCCCGTATAACCGTAAATTTCAGACATCCAAAAACTCCGATATTTCAATAACTGAGGACGCTAATTTACTTCAAGTTAATAGTTACAACAACCTCTTAACAATAAATAAGACTGCTATAGACTTTTAGGAATTGGACGTGGCACCGCCCACTTTACGACTACAAGGTGTATCTCGGTAACCTGTTTATAGATTTCTACCAAACTTGGTTCAATTACTGCATTAACTCTAATTCAGCATATTATCAAAACAGTTTGAAATCGGGAAAACCCTCCTGCTTATCATGCAAATGCAGTTTAGAGAAAGTTGAATCGACGATATTTGATACGTGCGCCGGGTATATAAAGTTCGGTTTCGCCGGAACTTATACTTCTTTACTTGTTAAATCTATACTATATATAATTTATAATAGGCACAATCGATCAACAAGAAAAGATGGTAGGTACAACAAAAGAATACCCTTTGTAGCGCACCGTAAGCATTTTAATACCCGAGCGCACTTGTGCACAAGCGTATTATAACTTTGTTCACATAACGGTTGTTTGTAACAGGCAAAACGAATCGAGATAGATATAGACAAATGTATACATAAATGATCAGAATGAAAAGATAAATCGATTAAGCGGTGACTGTCTGTCCGTCCGTCCGTGCACACGATAACTCGAGTAAAAACTGAGATATCTTAACGAAACTTGGTACGTGCACTTCTGTCTGGCGTAGGACGGATGGTATTGGGGAAAATGGGAAAAATCGGACAATAACCACGCCTACCTCCCATATAACGGTAATTTTCAGAAATAGGAAAACTGCGATATTTTAGTAAATACTGATGATTATGAAAAACTAAGTATATTGTAAATTTTTGGAAAATGGGCGTAGCCACGCCCACTTATGGTTACAGTGTATGTATATCTTGGTAACCGCTGCACCAATTTCTTCCAAACTTGGCACAGTTGTTTGGCCTTGCTACAGAATACCAAATGGCCGAAAATTTAAAAAAATCGGACAATAACCACGCCTACATCCCATATAACGGTAATTTAGAGAAATACGAAATCTTCGATAAATCAGTAAATATTAAAGCTAATTTATTCAAAATTGATGCTTGCATCAATTCTTTGCCAAGAAATACGTTTATGGTAAAATTTTGGAAAATGGGCGTAGCACCGCCCACTTATGATCACATATACGTATATCGGTAACCGTTCTACCAATTTGTACCAAACTCGGTATTTTTATTGTGCTTGTCACATAGAAGCAAAACGTTGAAAATTATTGAAATCGGACTAAAATTACGGACGCTTTTCATATAACAGTAAATTTCAGAAGTGCATGAAACTTCAATATTTCGAAATTTAAGGACGCTAATTTACTCAAAATTGATACACCCCGGCTGACCATCTAGCGGTAGATTTCGGAAAGGTGAAACACATATATCTAATACTTGCGCCGGGTATTTAATGTTCGGCTTCGCCCGAACTTAGACTTTCTTACTTGTTATTTTATACAATACAAGCAATAATAACAATTAACCAGTATTTAAAGAAATGACTGCTCCTTAAAAGTTCGTGTTAAGAAACTGGTGTCGCTGAAGATAGGCATGTTCAAATAAGATCGGTGTTTCCAAGAACCGGTTTTTTAAATTTGGTTTATGATATTTTTCAGTATTTTTTAGGGTTTTGCGTTTAAAACGAAAACCGAAAATTCGGTTTTTACATTCCTCAGCAATGTATAATTATTTCGCAATACGCGTACCACAAGCTTCAAATTAACTAATCATTTTTTGTTTGCTGATCTAGTAGCTAAGCATAATCGATTGTGAAGTCGATTGTAAATATAGAAATATCATACAAAGTTTGGAATTCGATTTATATGTCGTATGATAAAACATAACCATTATTTTAATAAAAAATTCACAAAAAATATTTACCATGAAAAACATTGGAAATGTTAAAAAAAAACAATCACTGTAAACTCAATTTTGAAGCTAATAATATATTACCATATACACAGGTATGTAATTATATTCATATCGCTCATTTACTTCAATAGTGTCATAATCCAAAAAATACAAATTTTGAGTTGAGTATGCAGAAATTACCGCCACCTTTTCTTCTCTTCTTCTTCTTCTTAATTGGCGCTGTAACCGCCTAAGCGATTTTGGCCGAGTCCAAAACAGCACGCCAGTCATTACTCTTCTGTGCTAACTGACGCCAATTGAAAATGCCAAGTGAAGCCAAGTCCTTCTCCACCTGGTCTTTCCAACGCAGAGGAGGCCTTCCTCTTCCTCTGTTACCAGCATCGCGGCCCGCGTTGAATATTTTCAGAGCAGGAGCGTTTCTGTCCATCCGAACGACATGGCCAAGCCAGCGGAGCCGCTGAATTTTAATTCGCTGCACTATGTCTATATCGTTGTAAAGCTCATACAGCTCATCGTTAAATCGTCAGCGATTTTCGCCATCACCAACGCGTAAAGGTCCGTAAATCTTTCGCAGAATCTTTCTTTCGAAAACTCCAAGAGCCGCCTCATCAGATGCTTTCATTGTCCATGCTTCCGCGCCATACACCAGCACAGGCATGATGATTGACTTATAGAGTGTGATCTTTGTACGACGAGAGAGGACTTTACTTCTCAATTGCCTACTCAGCCCAAAGTAGCACTTGTTGGCAAGAGTGATTCTCCGTTGGATTTCAAGGCTGACATTATTATTGGTGTTAATGCTGGTTCCCAAATAAACGAAGTCGTCTACTTTTTCAAACTTGTAACTGTCAACAGTGACGTGGGTGCCAAGACGCGTATGCTCTGACTGTTTGTGTGCTGACAGGAGATACTTCGTTTTGTCCTCGTTCACCACCAGACCCATTCGCTTTGCTTCTCTATCCAATCCCGAGAAGGCAGAACAGACGTAGCCCTTGTTTTTACCGATAATATCGATGTCGTCGGCATACGCCAGCAATTGTACGCTCTTATAAAGTATTGTGCCTGAGCGGTTCAGTTCTGCGGCTCTTATTATCTTCTCCAACATAAGATTAAAGAAATCACACGAAAGGGAGTCCCCTTGTCTGAAACCTCGTTTGGTATCAAACGGCTCGGAGAGGTCCTTCCCTATTCTGACGGAGCTGGTGGTATTGCTCAACGTCAATTTACACAGCCGTATTAGTTTCGCGGGGATACCAAATTCAGACATCGCGGCATAAAGGCAACTTCTCTTCGTGCTGTCGAAAGCGGCTTTGAAATCGACAAATAGATGGTGTGTGTCGATCCTATTCTCGCGGGTCTTTTCCAAGATTTGGCGTATTGTGAATACCTGATCTATGGTGGATTTTCCAGGCCTAAAGCCACACTGATAAGGTCAAATCAGCTCGTTGACGGTGGGCTTCAGTCTTTCGCACAATACGCTCGATAAGACCTTGTAACCTATGCTTAGAAGGCTAATTCCGCGGTAGTTGGCGCGTATGGCGGGGTCGCCTTTCTTGAGGATTGAGCAGAGCACACTTAAATTCCAGTCGTCGGGCATGCGTTCATCTGACCATATTCTGCATACGAGCTGATGCATGCACCTAATCAGCTCCTCGCCGCCGTACTTGAATAGCTCGGCTGGCAGGCCGTCAGCTCCAGCAGCTTTGTTGTTTTTCAGCCGCGTAATCGCTATACGTACCTCGTCATAGTCAGGCGGTGGGACAGCTACTCCATCATCATCGACTGGGGACTCG